CTGGATTTTGACATTTTGAATTATCTAGTGTTTAAAAAAATACGTTGGTCTTAAATGATCTACTTATTATGTTGTTTGACTCTTAAGTGATGACCTTAGGCTAAATGTATAATCACTATTGTGTCAAAGGATTTATTCAGTAATTTCTAAATGCTTCATTTGTAATAAATTAGCGACATTGGTGTCTGATATAATTTAGGAAAACATTTTTTTTAAATAATACCCATCTGTGTTTTCCTGGGAGCTCAGTGTACGTGTGACCCGGAGGTTAGCACAAAGAAAGTTTTCTTGAACTCCTAGTTCTCTGGTCTATTTATTTTTTTGTAGTGTCTTAAATCAGGGAGTTTATGATCTATCACAAGGACGAAACATTGTGTTTGACACTGGGAGCCATTTAACACACTGCTAAGTACCTAACAGCCAGCTGGTAGGTGGCAGAAGACAAAGGACACCTCTGCTGTCTTCTTCAAAATATCTTCACAAACTCAACACAAATGTCACCTCAGTTGTCTAAATGAATTTATCCAGTTTTGCAGAAAAACTTGCAGGACGCCTGTTAGGATAAGAAAAACAAGTTGCATTGCGTCTTAATTTTCCCTAATAGGATTAAACAATATGATTACTACGTTAAGCATCTCCTGTTTACTCCAAGGAGTTTTTTTTTTTTAAATTGAAATAGAAAGGAACTGTTTTTCTTTTTGGTCCTTATTCTACCTGCTCTGCCATGCACTTTGCCACCGTTCACTCCAAACCAACCACCCGGCAGCCGCTCCTGGTGGATGTTAAATGAAAGAAAGGCTGTCGTCTTCCGAGCATTGTGCCAGTCCATTTAAGTATGCCTATCGGTCCCCCCGAGAAACGATGAAAACCTGGATTTTCATCAGTCATAGAAATCCCCCCTGGTGCCCCGGACAGAGCATGAAAAGGGGAATGTTTCAGCTTTGGGGTATTGTGTTCGGATGATGTGCAGTGTTAATACACACTACAAAACACTTTTGTATTTAGGCCAAAACTGTACATTTTGACACCAGCATATGTTCACAACATCCCAGAGTGTCTTGTACCAAACTGTAAACTAGACGTCTCGTGACTTTCTTTTTATTTATTTATTTATTTATTTATTTATTTATTTATTTATATAATCGTTATTTACCCAGAGGAGTTATTAAGGACAAATTATTATTTACAAAAGTATCTCTCTGGTTGCTCCTCTTCCTTTGTAAAGTGCACAACTATGTTGTCCTGATAATAGACGCAATCACGCTGTGGATTGCTATCACTCCACAAGAGTTATAGCTTAGCTCAGCCCGGCAGTTTAATTTGCACAAAAGACTTCTTATCCATGAGGGAGCATCGGCAGGTAAATTAGTTGCACTAGATTCGATATTTTTCTGAAAATATTTAAAAACGACATATTATTATCCTCCCACTTCATAATTATGAACTACTTTGTGTTGTTTTGTCACTTAAAATCCCAACAAAGGGATTACATCTGTTTTTACAAGCTGTAAAAAAAACAAAAAAAAACACAGGATACACTTTTTTTTTTTTTTGCAATGCACTTTATGCTACAGTATAGCAACAACAGATTATTATGAACTAAATTTAATTTGTGCCAATCGGTTGGAACCACTAAGTGAGTTTTGGCTCATTTAGTTTTGAATAAATTGTGCTTTTTTAGAAAGGTTAAATGATCACAAACATTTTTGTTGCGCCAAATAAAATCCTTGCTAAACGTATAATGAATGTGTGTTCAGACTTTATTAAAACAGGCAGTTTTGCAGGCATTTACACGATCGCTGGAGTCTGAATAGTGAATAGCTAGTGAATAGCATTAATAGCAAAGGAAGAGGCGAGGGATGTCTCCCTTCTTGTGACCAATATCAGCAGCCACACAAAAAAAAAAAGTTCTCCGATTTCAATATGACAATGCCGGCGGCAAAAGCATTGCATTCCAGAGCTCCCCTGAGTCCACATCCTCTCCTCTATCAGCCCGCTCGCCGCGCCGGTTGGGCCTGATGAGCCAGATTTTGCTGGTTTTTAATTAAGTGGAAGGTCAAATCTCATCGCTCTTGACTTCGGGGAGCCGCTGCTGTCTGCATGGCAGAGGAGCTACACCCAGTCATTAATTTTATGGAGCGGGGACTTTAATTGATTAAAAAGTTAAGGACAATGGGGAGCGTGGGGTAACAAGAGTATTTTGTTAGGGTAAGAATCCATGCTGCTTATGAATCTTATGTATTACAGCTCTAGATTTATGTTATTCATGACTCTAATGCTGTTCTTCTAAAACATATTATTATTTTTATTATTACCAAGCATGACAAAATGAATTTGATCACCCCCCTCATGTTCAAACGTAAATGTCTATTTCATCTCTATATTAAGACCCTTTTACTCTAATACTTATACATTTAATTTCAAGAACACCAGTGAACAAAAAATCACAAAGAACAGGAAGCAGACCAAATAGGTCAGGGTTTAGGTCATAGATAACTTGAAAATGGCAGTTCTACTATACTGACCATCGGTTTTCTATCCTTTCTGATTAAGCTAAGATGTTTTGTAAAGACATTTTGGCAAACCCTTCAATCTCTAGATGCCCAAAGCTGGCAGAGTTGAAAACTCTAGAATTACAAAAGGTAATTCTAGTAATTCTAGTATGTCCAAACCTGTGGACTGTGGGCCTTAATAAAAACTGCTTTTTTGTTTTTCATAAAACTTGGATCGAATGTTTTCCATTTGTTTAGTCCACACCAGTGATAACTTTCCTTGAAAGCCCTTGCTGTTTGTAGCAAAGGTTACTGAATGGGTGTGGCCAAGTTTATTTTTGAGGCACAATTCACTGGATGCATACGACTCTACTCACTATAACATTAAAACGAAAGCAGTTCTCTGTTTTCCATTTCAGATTATCTAAATGTGTCATTGAACATCTCATCCCAAAAGGTTTAACACCTTTGGCCCATAGCATCTACTTTATATTCCTGTACCGATGGGAAGTTGCTGAAATGCATCCTCCAAGGTGGGATAAGCCTCTGAGGTCGACTTGAGTCATTTCCCTTTTTTTTTAGTTGATAGAAATAGTAAAGATAATCCAGAGATGAAACAGGGAATGCAGCGATCTATTGGACAGTGGGCATGACCCTTTGGAGTGTTTTCTTTGCTGCTTTGCAGCTGGCATTGCACACACAGACGCATTTGTAAATGAGAAGATTCTAGAGAACAAAGAAAGTATTGTTCAGCGGATCATACAAGAGAAAAGCCTATTGAACGGATGAAAAGATATCAACTCCCTGAAGCACCTCTGAGACTGCACTGGAGTAATAGTTTTGGAAAATGAAAATAGAAATTGGAAAGTAGGATTTTTTTGTTGTTGTTTTTTGTTAAAAAAAAAAGTATTTTGCCTTGTCCTTCAGTGAATTAATGTGTTGTACCATAGTGCTAATAACCAAAAAAGGCTTGCTAAATCAAACCTTACAGATTTAAAAATATATAACACACTTTTTCTTAAGGGTCACTTATTTACATTCCATACAATAAATCTCATACAACAACTTCAGCAGCTTTGAAACCTGTTTAAGACCCTATTATATCCTAATATCACTTGCCATTTCTAGGTTAGACATGGAGCATTCTAGAGAATATTTCCAAAATTATTAACATTTTAAAGTGATACCAACCTGTAGCCTGCTACCTCACTTCCTCACTGAGGAGTCTGTTTTTGCGAGGCTAATTTTCTGCTCAGAACAACTGAAGAGAGACGGAGCCTTCTGGATTTCCTTCGTTTTGCTGTTATCTAGACCAAACCATGAATCATGCGTACAGCTCCATTCCCTGTCCTCCATTAATAAAGATGGATCTAACAGTAAGGCCAGGAAGTCAATTAGAAAGCTTTATTTCGGGCTCCTGCTGTCATTATTCTGTCTCATGTTCACTGCTGGCAAAAGAGGAAAAAAAAAAAGCCTGATCGGTCTTAAACGGGAAGAGTCTTCCCTCGGAAGCACTTTGTAAAAACAAACATGGGCTTGATGTGAAACCGTGAGCCGCCCGAGCCTCCTGGGAGGTCTACAGTGTCAGATCCACTTCATGCTCTCCTCCCAACTGATTCACTTTCCTCCCACCTCACAAGAAGCTGAGGTCACAAGGTGTAACCTTTTACCCGACTGGGAGTAACTGTAAACACAGAGAGCTATATTTGGAATACATATCTGGAATATGAACTGTAGTCTTTCCTATTGCAACAAGCGCAGCCCTCCTCTGCCTCTGATGAAGCTTTTCCGTGGGAGTGAACACAAGTCACAGCGGAGAAAGGTTATATTTTGAGTACGTGTAATTTGCTCTCTGCTTATTCCGACGGTTGAAGTCACTCTAAATGAAACCGCAGCTATCTTGTTTTTCACCTAAGCCTGGAAGCATGGCTCTCTCACTCGGCCAAGACGTTGTAGAAAACTGTCAGGCCTTCTCTCTTCTCCTGGCAGGAGCATCTGTCAACTCTGCTGCGGTTCAGTCTAATAAACCAGCCTCGCCATCTGAGTTTCCAGGCTGAAGGCTGTCTTCAACGAACAATGCAACTTTAAAGATAAAGAACAAAGAGAATTCCCAGGATACACAGCTTTTTTCCCCCCCTTTTCTATCATCTTTCTAACAGGCCGTGTTTTAAGCTCAATTAGTGAATCTAACAGAGCGTCTTTTATTTAGCTTTCACAGAGGCAAAAGTGACCTTATTTGCAATGCTGTTCTCTCCGCTGGGGCGCCCACAAATGAAGTCTTGTTTTCTGTTTTTAAGGAGAGTATAATGAAGCTTTGAGGAGGCATGATCCAAGTCAGATAGCCCACCAGGATTTCAATTTACCCGTGTCAAAGAAATTTGAAAGGCACAAATAAAAATGGCCGTGAGGGCCGACTCTGTATATTCCCCACAGAACGTATTGATTCGGTGGATTCAGCTCAGTGCCTATTCAAGTCTTTGTCTTTTGTTGCTTTTTCTTTTGTCTCAGGTGCAAGTGCAACCTGCATGCCAACAGCTGCGTGTTTGACAAGGGGAAGCTGGGCTGTGAGTGTGAACACAACACAACAGGGCCCGACTGCAGCCGCTGCAAGAGGCACTACCATGGCAGGGCCTGGAGCGTGGGCTCCTACCTCCCCATACCCAAAGGAACTGCAAATATATGTAAGTAGAAAATATCTGTCTTCTGTAGGCCAAAAACTGCTTATGCAACTAATTTACTGGCTGAATACACATCATTCACAGTTTTTTTTTTTTATTACCGATACTAATACATGACAATGAAATATCTAACCACTAAAGTGTCAAAGTTTTCTGCAAAGCCATAATGCATAAGGGACTCCAAGTCACATCTTACAAGACAAACTCTGTAGACTGTTTACCATTAAAACCAGACAGTTTTATGCTCTACATAGAAGGGCTTTTTTTTTTCACAGTTTGTTATTAAATCTCACTCGCTTGATAATCTTTCTTTGATTTGTTTAAATTCAGACATTTATATCCTCTAAGGTTACTATTCATTTAAACAGTTTAGCCCAGATGACCAGGGTCAAGCTTCTGTTACAGTACAGTAGTAGAGAAAGCACATCTGTGGATGTATGCTTCATTATGTGACATACAGGAAAAATGAAAAGCAATCAGATGAGATAAGATAATTAAGGACCCCCGGAAATCTAGACTATACTTTGACACAATTTCTAAAAAGAGCTGCTAAGTGATTTTATCCAAAGTGAAACGAGTCCCATCTGACATTTGCTGAAAAACCACTCAGCGATAAATAAACTGCTTCGTTTTGGCTCACATGTTCTGTAGTTTTATTTTTTAAAAATGTAGGTATTTGTGTCATTGTTCTGTTATTTAGTGAGTACAATTCATTTTAGTAATCCTACATGAACTAAAGCAAGAAAGGTTTTGTCAAAATTTGTGTCAGACTTTAATCCTTTGCTATCACATCACGTTCAAGTGGAAGACCACAGAATCTAATTAAGTTAACGAGCAAAAAAAAAATAATTATCATTTTATTTACACCTAAGGCATCAATGTCCAGTGTCAGTTCTCAAAGGACAGTGTTAAATAAAATTTGAATGAAAACCTGTGAACAAGACACAAAAAATATTTTTGAAGGGAGATTTTAAGATCAATGGTGATAAAAAATTTAACTCTATGACCATAAAGACAGAAAAATGTTTTGGAAGACTTGAAGTGTGGCTTTACAGCTACAGTAGGTCACTTTTAGAAAAATTTATTTTTTACATATTTGTTAAAACTTCACTATGTCCTGACAGCAGAATATCAAACAAAAAATTTCTAAAAAAAAAAAAAAAAAAAAAAAGTGAAGTGCTTCAGATTCCTCGCAGTGATCTTACTGACGTTTGCAGAAATCGACCACTTCGGGTCAGAAACAACCAATCAGAGCCAGGAGGGTTTTTGTGCCGTCAATCACACCCAATCACCTGCATCGACTATTCTAAACTTCCCTCTGGTCATTGTAGCCAAACAGCTTTATTGTTATTTACTCACACATACATTAAGTAGGTGTTAATTTTTATTATTTTTTAGAGTTATCAAGCGGTGTTACGTTAAGCCTCTGAAATAGCCAGGACTTTAATAAAAAAAAGAAATGCACTGTATTTCAAAACCGAGTTTATAGCAGTAACTAAGCAATTTAAATAATATCTGCTCTTCCTTGTATAAAGAATGAAAGATTTAACCAGAATTATTATGCGGTTACCTTGAGTTTTTCTAGTTAATTGAGAAAAGCGAGCGCAATACCAAGTAGGTAACTACTGCTGGTTTCCTGGTAACATTAAATATGACGGATTACCATCCTCTTAAGTTTCATAAGTTTACAGCTACAGTAGCTACTTAAGTTTCATAAGAAACTTGGACAAGTTTCTTATGAAACGTCCTTTTTGGACTTTGCGTCACTGGTCAACAGTTTTCTTTAATCAATTGAATAGAAAGGTTTTGCAACCCAAGCTTAAAGGTACAAGAGTTTGCAAGGTATCTACTAGGCAGAAGGTGCTCTTTTGCATTATCCCCATTATAATCTTGGACAGGAGTTGAGTCACATTTATCAAATCCCATGCCAGGGGGCAGGGAAGCTCATTGCCTCAATAAATCTAACACAGCTATGTAGGGTTGCGGCAGTAGATGGCCAGGCGTGGCCAGATGGTGGAAGATCCAGTCCTCTAGTCCCAGATTTTGCCCTTTTTTTTTTTTTTTCTCAGCCTTGCAGTCTGCAAATCTCACAGCAGCAGTCCTCCAGGATTTATAGCAGGTTTTTCAGTTGCTCATTTTGACCGTCTGACTTGAATTCTGATTAGGTTTGAAGGGGGAAATGATATTACTATTGATCCCCTACTGCACCGCTGCTCTTGTTGTTTTTAATTTGATGTTGATTAATCGGATAATTATCTAGTGATTTGTATGGATATATGCTCCATGAATCATTTGCATGTTTGTGCGCAGACCTTTGAGTGTGCTCACATCTAGACTGTGTGCGGGAGTCTGTTTACGAGAAACGCTGAACTCTAAGGAGATATTGCTGGATTTACCCCTGTACCTCCTCTGTCTTATTTGCCTCCCTGCAATGTGGAGCTTGCTGTCAGATTGACAGGCCATTATTAAAAAAAAAAAAAAAAAAGAAGAAAAAAAATCCACCGCCAGGACGCATCTGCCCTGAACTGATGAAACCGAGGTCTAGCCATATCAAAAGCAATATTAGCGCTTGTTTGGCTGTGGCATAAAATGCAATAATATTGTACATGGAGGTGACGCAACAATATTGGTCCCCCAGGTGTTGAATGAGGACATTTTGTCTTGAATTATTCTTATTTCTCTTGAGAACAGATTCAGACACTTAACATGCCTTCATCTATTACATAGAGTGCTTTGTATGAACAAAATGAAACACACAGCTGCTCGTATCAGGACAAATACGTTGAACATGCAACACGTAATTATGGTTTAATAGGTTTCATCTGTCAGCAACTCTTCCTCTTTTATCATGGCAGTCATTAATCTCTGGGTAGGGTCTATTACATATTTATTTCCCTGTACATGGAAGCCTGGTATAAAATGAGTTACAGCCAAAAAAAAAAAAAAAAAAAAAATCATAGCCTTCAGCATCAGGACATGACTAAGAAAGACTGAAATTCAAGGTTTATGGGATCAGTAGGGTTGTAAAAAGAAACAAAGTTTAAACTTTTTATTATTTTTGCTTCAATCCCTTAAGATAACACTGAAATGTATCAAAATGTACCACGTCAGGTCTGAAACTATAGTTTTTATTCTATCAATTTTATTTGCTTGCTTAAAAATGAACGTGTTGAATGCATTCCAGTGTTTTTATACACCGACTGGAGGGGAAAAAAAATCCTATAATTCAAGATGCTTGAGTCAATCGGTTAGAGATCAGAATCGGACACATTTTTCCATGATCAGTTCTGATCAGTGATCAACTGCTCAAATACTGAGAAATCTGTTTGTTAAACCCATCAAAACTAAAATTCACCATCGTTTGTAATCTGTCAACATATCAATCGACTGCATTTATGTTTATGCCTATTTTTGTGTTGGTTTAATAAAAAAAATCAGATAAAGGTCAGGGACATTTATGCTTGATCTGTCAGTGGGGATAATCTTGTAGTTACTTCAGTATCTGATAGATTCAAACCTATTACTCCTTTCAAAAAGCTGCTGCACGCTTTTCCTCCAGTATTCCTTGTAATAAAAAGGAATAGGTCAAAATTGCAACCACCAAGCCAGAACTACAAAAAAAAAAAAAAGCTGCAGAAATCAGTATCTGCCAAAAAAAAAAAAGCTGCAGAAATCAGTATCTGCCAAAAAAAAAAAAAAAATCAGCATAAACTGCTTCTGCTTCTAAAAGGAAGCTTGAAATTGTATGTTTAGGCAGTTAAAATCAAATACTGTTATTTTTTCTACCATCAGCTCCTTGTCACCGTACTGACGAGTGTACAGTGACTTGCAAAAGCTCTCACATCCTTTTACCTTTCAGAAGCACTTTCATTCTCGCTGCAGTAGAAAAGAGGTTCGGATCGGCAGATTAACTCCAAACAGGTCAAGTTTCATGATTCTGATGGTTTACGAGGTGTAAACAATCACATGTAGATCGTTTTGCACGTCAGAATTTTTTGTGCCCTGCAAGTTTCAGAATTCAGTACACTACTAATAGTTTTGCTGTTGACAGATTCTCCAAAGGCGTGCGGTTGAATGAGCTTTTAATGAGGATTACGAGAGCAAAATGCATGTCCGTATTTTCAGACTTTTCTTCTTCACAACATTGTTAGTCTGTCACATAAAATACGTTAAACGTTTGTGGTTGTTACATGGGGAAAAAAATGATAGAAAATATCACGGAGTATTGATAATTTCACCAGATTTAAGTACATTTGTTGTAAAATAATAGATTAAAACACATCAATAACTTATAAAGCATGCTGTATATTGCAATAAGGCTTTTTTGTAATTAAAGTAGCACTTACTTTGCTGAAGTTATTAAAATAAGTTATTGAGTAAACATTTAGGTCAGTGTTTTTCAACCACTGTTCCG